CATTTTTGTTTTCTTATAAGAAATGACCAATTATCCAAGAATGTTTGTTCCCTTCTCCAAGAGAAGAGATGTCTACAAGACACCTGTCCAGGCTCAACTCTCTAGGGGTGAGGATGCACACACACATTTCTCCCCTTACTCTTGGCTAAATTCAAATAACCTAGTGGGGGCCTTTTAGGGGTCCTGAATCAAAGCTAGGAAGGGAATCAACCAGGAGAGCTTCATCCACTTTGGTATTTTCATGAACAAGACATAAACCTGTTAAGCCTCTGAGAGTCTTATACAATTCTTCCATCTTTTCATCTTGTTGAAATTTCATTATATTGGCAACTGTTATCTGTGGATTTGGTGGTGATTGCTTCTGATTACTATCTTCAATCAGGATAAGATTAGGGTCTCTTTGTTTCTGCTTAATTATTTGCTTTATTTTGGGGGAAAGAACATTTCACGTTAGGAGAAAAAGAAGTAGTTTCAATAAAAAAATTTCAGTTATATAGTTCTGGGCTGGTACAGAATTACAGACTGGAAATTTCTTTGCCTCATTTTAAGTAATTGTGGTATTGTCTTTCAACTTCCAGTATTGCTGATGGGAAATTTCAGGCTATTCTGCATCTTGATTATATAAGAAACCAGATTTTTAAAATATCAGTTCAGTAACTCACCTTAAATAATTCTGAGTATTTTTCTTGGATTATTTTGTGACTTATTCAATTTCCTCTCTTTATTCATATTTGAACTCCTATTGTATCACCCACTTCTTATTTTATTTTTAATTTTTTTATTTTTTTCTGAGAGAGTGAGAAACAGCATGAGCAGGGGAGGGTCAGAGAGAGAGAGGGAGACACAGAATCTGAAGCAGGCTCCAGGCTCTGAGCTGGCTGTCAGCATAGAGCCCAACACGAGGCTCGAACCCACCGACCTTGAGATCATGACCTGAGGTGAAGTCGGACACCTAACCAACTGAGCCACCCAGGCATCCCTCTTATTTTATTTTAAATTTCTTCTCTCTCATTTGTCCCTGTCATATGTCTTTATGCTTTACTTTTTTTGTATGATTTCTGAAATTTTATTTTGTGAACTTCCTATTGAGGTGTCTCTTTCTTCATTTTTATTATCATGATTTTAAATTTCTAAGAACTATTACTTATATGCTGAATGTAATTACTTTTTAATTTTTTAAATGTTTTTAATTTATTTCTGAGAAAGAGAGAGAGAGAGCACGCGAGCAGAGGAGGGTCAGAGAGAGAGGGAGACACAGAATCCGAAACAGCCTCCAGGCTCTGAGCTGGCTGTCAACACAAAGCCTGACGCGGGGCTCGAACCCACGAACCGTGAGATCATGCCCTGAGCCGAAGTCAGATGCTTAACCTTAGACTGAGCGCCCCGCTGAATGTAATTTTTTAAATAGCACTTCATTCTTAAATTTGTGAATGAAATATTTTCCCTTACTCCTCTGAGAAATTGCCATTTTCTTTTCTTCACCCTCTGTATTCTTTGGTACCTCAAACTTTAAAAACTTGATTTTTTCAGGTCTCGATCGTCAATATTAAATTGTTTCATCATATGTCTAGAGCCCCTTAATATTAGCAATTGAGCATTTAACAGGTTATTCCCACATCTCTATGACCATATGTGGAGTTTCTCTTCAGAGAAAGCAATGTGTCTGGGTTGTTGCCAGGGAAAACCTTGTTAATGATTAGTTTTTATTCTTTTGACTTGTTTACTTTCTTCCTGAAGTGGGGTCCTCCAATACACTTCTCAGAATGCTTAAGCCTGGTTCCCAATATCCAATATGCCAAGTTTAATGTAAACACACCAGTTTCAGTGTGGTATTCCTCTTCTATTGGGAAATACAATAGGACATCTGTGTGTGGTGTCCCCATTTCAGAGACTCCCCAAAGAAAATAGCTCTCAATTGTCTGTCAGTCTCCAAGTGATTAGTACAGGAAAACCAAGGTTGCTAAATACTTATACAACTTATTTTCAACCAATTATCCTTTATTTTTTTTTTAATATATATTTTTTATTTATTTCTAGGAGAGAGAGAGAGAGACAACGTGAGCAGGAGAGGGTCAGAAAAAGAGGGAGACACAGACTCTGAAACAGGCTCCAGGCTCTGAGTTGTCAGCACAGAGCCCGACGCGGGGCTCTAACTCACGAACCGCGAGATCATGACCTAAGCGAAAGTCGGACGCTTAACCGACTAAGGCACCCAGGCGCCCCCCAATTATCCTCTTTAGCCCATCTTTATGTTACTTGCTCAAGTTTTTGTGGCCAGCATGGATAGACTTGTAATTCAAACCAAGGCAATGGAAGATATGTTATCTCTATCTTATCTAATCTCTGTCTTATTGCTGATTCACTGGAGGGGGTCTTTTTTTCCAAACTTATGTCTATCTCTTCAGGTCTTCCTCTGCCATGGAAGAGTATTCATGGAATCCTTTAAAGTTTTTCAATTTACTTATGTGATAGTGCTCTATTTCAGTGTCAAAAAAATGTCTTCAATTGTATCCAGTGTTGTATTAAAACATGCAGATGGTTTCCAGAGCTGGCTTAAAGTTGAGGGTCATCTCTATATATGATTATATTTTATAATTTTTATGAGTTTCTGAAAGGGCAGTTTTGTTAATCTGCATATGTACCAATATCTTTGACAAAATAAATACAAGCAAATTAAAGCACAATGAGATGGAGTTTATCATAAATTCAGTTCAAGTATCATTCATTACTATTTTGGTTTGCTTCTCTTTAATGTGATATCCAATTGTGATGAGAATATGTGGACAGAGATTTATTTATTTAACCACTGATGATAAAATACAAAGTTGTACAAACATTGATGCGGAAGTTATATATATATCAAAAAGCCAGGTGACTGGGTGGCTCAGTTGGTTAAGGATCCAACTCTTGATTTTAGCTCAGGTCATGATCTCACAGTTCCTTAGGTTGAGCCCTACATTGGAGTTGCGCTGACAATGCAAAGCCTGCCTGGGATTCTTTCTCTCCTCTCTCTCTGCCCTTCCCCCTGCTTGTGCATGAGCACTCTGTCTCAAAATAAGTAAATAAAGATTAAAAAAATAAAAACACGGGACACCTGGGTGGCTCATTCGGTTAAGCGTCTAACTTCGGTTCAGGTCATGATCTCACAGTTTGTGGGTTCGAGCCCCCCATCAGGCTCTGTGCTGACAGCCAGCTCAGAGCCTGGAGCCTGCTTCGGATTCTGTGTCTCCCTCTCACTCTGACCCTCTGCTCACGCTCTCTCTCTCTCAGAAATAAATAAAAACATTTAAAACATTTTTTTAAAATAAAAAATAAAAACATAAAATATGACATAATTTTGTAACATATATATTTTAAGTTTATATATAATGTGTATGTATATTATTATATATATATAAAAAGGTACACATCAAAATGATTGCAGTGGATTCCACAACTTCATTTACCTCTAGAAAATGGCATATGACCCATTTTTATTTTCCTTACATATGTGTCCATTTAATATTTTAATAGTTGTTAACCAATGGGTGATCATTATTTAATTTAAAATAATAATAAATATAATACAATTTAATGATAAGTAAAAAATGTACATTATCCTTTTAATAACAAAAAGGAAATTTACTCCACTTTGAAATTTCCTTTTTGCTATTAAAAGGATAATGCATATTTTTAATTATCATTAAATTATGTTACCTTTAAGAAGCACATGCACCCCAATGTTTATAGCAGCACTATCAACAATAGCCAACTAATGGAAAGAGTCGAAATGTCCATTGACTGATGAATAGATAAATTAGTTGTAGATATATAATATACAATGGAATACTAATGGGTGATCAAAAAGAAGGAAATCTTGCCATTTGCAACAATGTGGATGGAACTAGAGTGTATCATGCTAAGCAAAGTAAGTCAGTCAGAGAAAGACAAATATCATTCGATTTCACTCATACGTGGAATTTAAGAAACACAACAGATGAATATAGAGGAAGGAAAGGAAAAATAAGATAAAAACAGAGAGGGAGGCAAACCATAAGAAAGTCTTAAATACAGAAAACAAACTGAAGTTTGCTGGCAGGGTGTCGGGTAGTGAGATGGGTAAATGGGTGATGGACATTAAGGAGTGCACTTGGTGAGATGAGCATTGGGTGTTATATGTAAGTGATGAATCCCTGGGTTCTATCCCTGAAACCAATACTACACTATATGCTAACTAACTTGAATTTAAATAAAATTTTAAAAATCTATATATTTTGGGGCACCTGGGTGGCTCAGTAGGTTGAGCATCCAACTTTGGCTCAGGTCATGATCTCACGGTTCGTGGGTTTGAGTCTCGCGTTGGGCTCTGTGCTGACAGCTAGCTCAGAGCCTGGAGCCTGTTTCATATTCTGTGTCTCCCTCTCTCTCTCTCTGACCCTCTCTCTCTCTCTCTCTCTCTCTCAGAAATAAATAAAACATTAAAAAATTTTTTAAGTAAATAAAAATCTATATATTTATAAATCTACATTTATAAGTAGATACATTAAAATAATTGGAGCAAATACTCTAATATTCCAAAAGCACCATCTCCAGACAATGAGATTTAGGACAATTCCTTGCCACTTTTCCACTTTTAAATTTTCTAGCAAAACTTTTAACAAAATAACACTGTGCTACAAAAAAGTGTAAGGAAAATTCTGACAAAGAAATAATCAGCAAATATATGTAATATTAGTAGAATGTTAATTCAATAACAATGCAAATATGTATATATGCATCAACATACTTGCAGTTAGGAAAATACGAGAATTTGTTTTTAAATTATGCGTGTTTATATCTATTACATTTTCTATATATCATATGTCTAAACATAAAACTATATTTAAAATAAATATTTACAAGAGAAAATTTTAATATAATCAACATCAGTTTAAATTTGTTTTCCAAATGTAACACATTCCAATGTGAATAAGTTTATCAAGGACAACACAAGTGAAGATCACATGTAAGTGGTTACTTACTACCGATTTCACAAGTATCTGGTAGGACTGATCTACCACCTGGGTCCTGGGATGGTTTTCTTGTAAAGGCAAAAAATCAACTTTATATTTCTTTATTTGATAAAGCATATGCTCATATGCAGCTGCAGATCCCAATGGTTCAATGCCATAACTGACGTTCTCCAAATGCAATAATCCCCTAAATACATAAAAAGTAATAAAAAGATACTTAATATAGATTACCCACTGAGAAATGTAAATCAACATTAAATACAAAATTTTATGGAAATTTAACAGTGGTCCTTTTGCTCAAGTATCTAAGAATCATCTCTTTGTATGCAGATAAACTTTCAAACATAATTTTATAGCTTCTCCCTATTATGCTATTTGGAGTCATTGTGGTTGTAGTGTAGCTAAGAAATTTGAATATTTTTCAAACTAGTAGAAGCTCTTTCTGCGTAAGTATTATGACTGCAAGCCTGAGATAGTGATAAAGAGAACAGGAAAAATGACAAAAAAGAGAAGGAGGAAAAGAAAGTATACAAGAAGAAATACAATCAAAATCCCTATTTTCTTTGTCTTCACTCTATGCTTCAAGATGTTTCTAAGATTTAAAAGATCACACAACTTTGGGGGGTGTCTGGGTCGCTCAATCGGTTAAGTATCCGACTTTGGCTCAGGTTATGATCTCACAGTTCATAAATTTGAGCCCCAGGCCTGGCTCTGTGCTGACAGCTCAGAGTCTGGAGCCTGCTTTGGATTCTGTATCCCCTCTCTCTTTGCCTCTCCCCTGCTCACACTCTTTTTCTGTCTCTCAAAAATAAATAAACTTAAAAAAAAATTTTTTTAAAAAGGTCACACAAGATTTTCAATCATGTTCATCTATAGAAAATGCCATTACCTGAGTCCAGAACAAGTGCTAAGTGTCACAACTGATTTGGGAACCTCTGCGGCGTATCCTTGATAAAGGCAATGGCCCTAAAGTGGAGTATATGAAGATATATTCATGAATGTTTGGTTTGTTTTAAAGTTTTTATTTAAATTCAGTTAGTTGACACACAATGTAATATTAGCTTCAGGTGTACAACACAGTGATTCAATACTTCCATACAACATCTAGTGTTCATCACAACAAGTGAATGAATGATTTGTAAATAAAGTTTTTGGTTTATCCTTTCTTCCCAAACATCATCAAACATTCATATTTAGCCATTACCATAATATTATCCACCAGATATTCTATTACCTGTAATCTCTTCCTTTTAATCCTTATTGCCCAAGAATAATCATGACTCTTATCCTTCCCCAAATAATTCTTGCTATAATTATAAATCTTTGGCAACTTTCTTAACTGCATCTTTTCTTTCTAAGCCACATTTCTTGAATGTATAGTTCAAGATTACATAAATTTATGTAATTCACAGCATTAATTTGACTTCAAATCTGCACATTTCACTTACTTTTTAAATTACCCAAAAGTATCTTAAATGATATTTCTTTATTTTTTATTTCTCTTTAATGCCTCACCATGTTGATGATCTTATTTCAAGCTCTTCTCTCCATGGACTTTCACAGCATTAGTCTTCTCAGTTTCTCCCCTAATACTGTCTTTCAGTGTATGTTGTCTTTCAGTGTATGTTCCTTTCTCTTCCCTTAAAACTCTAGTGATATTTACAGTTAACTCTGTTCCTTTGGTAATGTTGTGCTATTAAAATTTTAGTATGATCACATTCTTTCCTATGAACGTTTATATGTTACTATTATACATGATTAGCTGAGATATTTATTATTTCCACTAGTTTCAGATAGGAACTTTCCTCACTGAGGAGCAGTGGTGCAGGTAATACCTCTTACCACCACAGGCTGCAATAGCAGAGGTCCAGTAGAGCTAGAAGAACAAAGCACAACAGAATAACCTTGAAAGCTTAACTGTCATTCAAACAGCACACACTAAATCTAAACTTAAACTAGGTGACTGCCTTCAAAAACGGAAGACTTAAACATCAAGGACACAAGCGAAAATTACCCACTATAGCAAGAACTAAAAAATAAATAAATAAACAAACAAACAAATAAATAAAATTTAAAAATAAAAAAGCACAAACATTGGCTGATGCCAATATTGATATGAGCCGCATGTTGGAACTATCAGACAAGATTTTAAAGCAGCCCTGGAAAATTGTTTCAATGAACAAATACAAATTATCTTGAAACAAATTACAGAATAGAAATAAAAGCCATAAAAAAAGCAAATAAAGTATTAGGATAGGCTCAAAAGTAAAGTGGAGATGACAAGGGTTAGAATCTGTGAACTTGAGGACAGATCAGTAGAATTTATCCAATATATAAAACAGAAAAATGAGCTAAGAAAATCAGAGTCTCAAATAAGTTGTGGAACAATAACAGATCTAAAATACATATCAGAATCTAAGAAAGAAAACAGAAAGAATGTGGAGTTGAAACGTACTCAGAGAAATAAAGGCTGAAATTCTGGTCGGGAAAATAGAGTAGGAAGCCCTGGATCCTCTATCGTGGAACAAATACACCAATTCAGCAATAATTCGTGGACAAATTCTCTTTATCATTAATCAGAAACTAACTGAAAGGCTTCTGTACACTCTAGGAGAATGCAAAATCAGACCCATTAAAGCCAGTATGGAGATTTGGTATACATTACACCAGGGACACTGCCCAGAGCGCTGCCATATAATCACAAAGAGACCCTCTGGCTCCCATATTGACCAGGGAAGGCAAGGAGTCTTTCACATGTCAAGTGCCCCAATTTTTCTGAAGTGGCTACCAAGAAAACTGTGTCACCAGTCTTGGAGCCCTGATGAAATCAGCACAGCTAGTCACCCAGCAAAAATAAAGGTGGTGACTTGGGCTAGTTACATATAATTGATTTGCAACACCCACACTCAGCACAGAATAAGTGAATGAAAATTCTAGCTTTCTGTTTTACACTAGAGAAGGAAAAAGTTAATCCATGTATGCAGTGCCCCACTTCACCAAAAATGCTCACTGAGTTAGCATCTGTCTCACCAATCCTGGAGCACTGATCTGGTACAATCTAGTTGCCTGCTGGAGACCACAGAGAGCAGCTTGGAATGGTAGATACCTTTGATCCTCCTTCCTGCCCAGCACAGAGACAGCAGGACAAAAAGAGGTGCCTGCTTCTACCTGAAGAAAGAAAAAGTTAGCAGAAGTCTCCAAAACCAATAGCAACGCTGATTTTCGGAGTGCACAAATGCACAAGGCCAGTTGATGAAGACTAGGAGAGGTGACTGCTTTGACTATGAGCCCAAAACCAAACATGAGTCAAGTAAAATGAAGAATCAGGAAAAAAATGTTTCAAGGAATAAGGTAAATCTCCAGAAAGTGACATTATTGAAATGAAATTAAATGATTTACTTTAGAGAGAATTGAAAAGAACTCTCAGACACAAACTTCCAACTACAAAATAAGTAATGGGGATATAATGTACAGTACAGTGACTACAGTTAATTATACTACATTGCCTATTTGAACGTTGCTAAGAGAATGGATCTTAAAATTCAGTAAATGTATAGTGATGGATATTAACTAGAATAACTGTGGTAACCATTTGACAATATATACAAACACTGAATCATGTTGAACATCTGAATCTGATATAATGTTAATGCCACTTATACTTTAATAAATAATAGCTGTCATAAAGATACACACTAAGGTCAAGATAACAATGCATGAACAAAGTAAGAATTTTTTTTTTCTTTTCTTAAATATAACTTATTGTCAAATTGGCTAACATACAGTGTGTAAAGTGTGTTCTTGTTTTTTGGGGGTAGATTCCCATGGTTCATCACTTACGTACAACACCCAGTGTTCATCCCAATAAATGCCTTCATCAATGTCCATCACACATTTCCCCCTCTCCCCAACCCCTGCACCCACCCTGTTTGTTCTCTGTATTTAAGAGTCTTTTATGGTTTGCCTCCCTCCCTGTCTGTTTGTTACTATTTTTCCCCTTCCCTTTCCCCATGGTCCTCTGTTAAGTTTCTCAAGATCCTCATTATAAGTGAAAACATATGATATCTGTCCTTCTAGGACTGACTTATTTCACTCAGCATAATACTTTCCAGTTCCATCCACATTGCTACAGATGGCATGATTTCATTCTTTCTCATTGTCAAATAGTATTCCATTGTATATATGAACCACACCTTCTTTATCCATTCATCAGTTGATGAACATTTAGGCTCTTTCCATAATTTGGGTATTGTTGAAAGTGCTGCTATAAACATTAGGGTACACGTGCCCCTATGAATTAGCACTGCTGTATCCCTTGGATAAATTCCTAGTAGTGCTATTGCTTGGTTGTAAGGTAGTTCTATTGTTAATTTTTTGAGGAACCTCCACACTGTTTTCCAGAGCAGCTGCACTAATTTGCATTCCTACCAACAGTGCAAGAAGATTCCGCTTTCTCCACATCCTTGCCAGCATCTATTGTTTACTGAGTTGTTAATTTTAGCCACTCTGATTGGTGTGAGGTAGTATCTCAGTATGGTTTTGATTTGTATTTCCCAGATGATGAGTGACAAAGAATTTAAAAAAGAGATAGGAAAATTCACTACAAAATTTCAACAGCAGACTAGATCAAGCATAAGAAAAAAACTGAACTCAAAAAACTGGTCTGAGTAACAAACAGACTAACTTGCTGAGGTATTATCAAAGCCTACCTGACCCACGGAAGGGAAATACCCAACCCCAGCCCACTTGGGCCATTTTGCTCCACCTAAGGAGGAAGAAAAAGAAAAACTGAGAAAGACTTGTGATATGCATAGTCCAGAGGCATGGGCCAAGTAAAACACTGAAAGTTAATCATATAACTAAAGAATACTTCTCTCCTCACACTTCACCACTACATTACTGAAGGTATATTTATAGAAGTTCCTTTTACCTGCTACATCATGTGCAGCTATCAAGAAAAAAATACCAAAGGGAAAAACACAATTTGAAAAGACAGAGCAAGCATCAGAAACAGACATGGCAAGAATGTTGGAATAATAATTATTATTATTATGCTAAGGGCTCTAAGGGATAAATTAGACATTGTGCAAGAACAGATGAACAATGTAATCAGAAAGATAGAAATCCTCAGAAAGAACCAAAATTAAATGATAGAGATGAAAAAAAACACTGTAACAGAAATGAAGAGTGCCTGTGGTGGCTCGCTGGTAGTTGAGAAGTGGCTGAGGAAAGAATCTCTGCACTTGAGGATGTATCAACAAAACTTTAAAATTTAAAAAGAAAAAAGGACTAAAACAGAAGAATATATTCACAGATTATGGGACAACTACAAAAGTTGTAACATACACATTATGGAAATACCATAAAGAGAAGAAAAGAGAAAGGAACATAAGACATATTGAACAATAATAATTGACAATTTCCCCAAGTTAATGTCAGACACCAAATCACAGATCCAGAAAGCTCAAAGAATACCAAACAGAATTAAAAACAAAAAAAAAACAAAAAACACTACACCTTGGAACATCATTTTCAAACTACAGAAAATCAAAGATAAAGAAAAAATCCTGAAAGAAGCCAGAAGGAAAAGACTTTATCTATAAAAGAACAATAATAAGAATTAAATAAGATTTCTCTTCATAAGTCATGCACACAAGAAGGAACAGGAGCAAAATATTTAAAACATTGAGAGAAAAAACAACCTACCAATCAAGGAGTCTATATCCTGCAAAATTATCCTTCAAAGACAAAGAAGTAAAGATTTTATGAGACAAACAAAAATTGAGGGAATTTATTGCCAGTAGACTTGTGTGCAAGAAATATTTTGAAAAAATCCTATGTAGAAAAGGAAAATGATATAGATTGGAAACAAATCTACCTAAAGGCAGACTGCTGATGAGGGAATATAACAGTAAAATAAAAACTTTTTTCTTATTCTTAACTGATATAAAAATTGTTCAAATAAT